CTTTCTTGTTAACGTTAATTGTTACAAACTACCTAAAAGAACAAAATGTGTTTGGTATTACTCTTGTATCTGTCTCTACTCTTATGACAATACATTTTGGTTGTCTTGTAAGTCTTCGCTGCTTCTTCTTTGTTTCCTGAACACATTCTGTTTTGCCAATTGCTTTAAGCAACTATTTACCATGAATGATACTGCTTTGGTTTGAGCATAAACAAGAACATTGCGGGTCAGTCACCTCTCTTTTTATGATACGCTTTTCCCGATTGATCATCAGTTTGATTAGTGGCATCTTCTGAGTAACTTGCCTCCAAATCTCGTTCACACTCCCGTTTGGGTGCGTATAATCAAAATATCGTCTCACCTACACGAATCAAAGTTCATATTCTCACTTATGCAGTTTCGTATCGTTTAATCGACAAGGGGAAATGTTGAAAAGACCGGACAAGTAACACTCTTTACCTCTTTCATAGCCTTCTGGTATTTCAAAATCTTTTTTGTTTTCACTTTTCTCAGCTTCTTAACCACAAACCCTGGTTTCAAAGCAGCATCACTTCTCAAGAATATACAGAACTTTCTGTAATCTATAACATCTTCAAAAGGTAGCTCAATGCTATCGCTTACAATCACCGGGACACATAAACTCGCAATGGAATCAAATAATCTGCAAGCAGGAGTGGCACCATCCAAATGTAAACAAAACTTAGATGTGTGCATTCCTTGTTTAACTGCACGCCTATTCTCTCTTGATTCTGTTCCGTGTTTGATCACAACATCGCCTTCGTTCTCAAGCAGCTTGAAAATCAAATCTCGAACTCTGCCTCCCTGTCAAACAACACACACCAAAGAAAGCACATTAAGACATATATTGTTCGCCATGTGTGGTCTCGGTTGCGGAAAATCGCCAAAAGTTTACGCCTTTTTTGCAGTTACTCAAATGAGCAAAATCTGGTTTTTCGGAAACCTCTCACAATCTAACACATTTGACATTCAATTCCAATCCATAAACAAGAACACTACCTAGTAACTAAGGCGGGAATCTATACATCTAACTCAAATCGAAACTCATTCTCGGAATTCAAAATTAAATCTTACATCTTTGCGATATCGGTTTCCCATGAAGAACAACAAATTGTTCCTCTCCTTCACTCCAAGCTCACCTTCATAAACATCAACCCTATGAGAACAAGGTATGATTACGTCTTTCACAAGCGAACCTTGGTCAACCCTTAACCGGCCAAAATCCGTCACAAGCAAAACCGCATTCTTGACCCGATCCATAACCCGTTTCAACGAATTCGGGTCACCGGCGACAATCACATGATCCCTCCCATTGTTCCTCCTCCACCATTCTTGTCTTTCCAACCAACCCACCAAACTCTCTTGCATCTCCTCATCACTGTAACACGACCCGGAGTTACCGGGTCGACCCGAGTTCACAATCAAGCACAGAGAAGAGAATGCCGAGACGTAGAACAAATCCGCCTCATTCGGGTCAAGAATCCTGACAACTGGAGACCCGACCCGTTCGATTTCGGGTCGGGTAAGATCCGAGAAGAGATACCACTCGTGCATATGTTGATGACCCGGATATTTCAACCTGGTGACGTCATCGGATTTCTCTCCTCCGCCGCGAGCTATGCGGTGTTCCTCGATGATTCCGCAAGTGAAATTCGTTGGCAGGTCATACATGTAAACCTTCGTTTTACGCGATTTTCCCGGAAAGTCGAGATTTTCTCGGGAATCGACGAGGTTGCGGCGAATTGAGCTAGAGTCGTCGGAATAAAAAATTGGGTAGAAGAAGGTATTAACGAAGATGAAGAGTAAGAAAACAGAGATAACTGAAACTGAGACCTTCTTAGATTCGGATAACAAATTATTGGGTTTTCTGATTTTGGGTTTTAACCTCTCATTCATCTTGTGAAAATCACAGCAAAAAGTT